GCTCCGTGCGAACCAACAGCAGAGGAACAAATTGTCTCCTTATGGGGAACTTCAACGCCCCCAACGTAATCTGGGACCTACTTCACAGTGATCTCCTACCTGACACCTTTGAAATTGATATCGATACCGTTTACGAGTGCAACCTGACACAGCATGTCTTGACACCAACGCGAATGGTCCCTGGTCAGATACCAAACATTCTCGACCTGGTTCTCACCTCGGCACCATCTGATGTCTCAGATCTAACGATCCTCCAACCTCTTGGGACGAGTGATCACTGTACAGTCTCCTTTTCGTGGACACGAAACCTCACAATCCACGATCAGGGAACACTGCGTCGAAATTTCTGGCGTACTGACCAGCCCAGATAAGGAACGACTGCAAGTAACATGGACTGGAGTATTTCGCAATCCTTGGAGCTTGATGACGCATGGGAACGCCTGCGATCTATGATGATGCGGCTCATTGAACAGTTTGTTCCAAACTGCAAGAGCAGACCACCATCCAAAGGACTCCCATGGATTGATAAAGAAGTAAGATCCCTGATGAAAAAACGTCGAAAACTATGGGATCATTTCAAGGGCACAGGACAGACATCAAGCTACTTAGAGTACAAAACTGTCAGAAACCTATGCACCCTGAGAAAACCAGACAAAAGACTACAATATGAACATAGACTAGCAATGGAATCCCAAAACTGTCCCAAAAAACTTTTTGAGTACTTGAAGCGAAATGCCAAAACTGGTAGTGGAATCCCAGCTCTATCCTCTTTTAAGGAACGTACCGTTCTCTACGGAGATGATGAAAAAGCAAACCTATTGGCTGCGCAATATTCCTCGGTCTACTCAGTGAAATCAACACTGCTCAACAACTGTTTGCCTGCACACCACTCGTCTATGGACCAAGTTGAAATTAACCCAGAAGTAGTCACTAACCTTCGAGCTGGACCCGAACACCTCCCCAGGCCCGGACGGATTGTATCCCAGCTTCCTCAGAACGATAGCTGAGTACGTCGCCGCCCCTCTCTGCCAAGTGTTTCGGCAATCCCTCGAAGTCGGCTGCCTACCCACAGGCTGGAAAGCAGGCACCGTCTTGCCCAAATACAAGGGGGAAACAAACAAGACCCAGCCAACTACCGGCCAATATGTCTGACATCAGTCGTATGCAAAACCAAGGAACGGGTAGTCAAGTGCGCTCTCCAGCTACACTGTGTGCATCTAAACCTCATCTCACCTGCTCAACATGGCTTCTGGAGAGCACGCTCATGCATCACTAACTTACTCATCGCCAGGGAAACATGGGCAGAAGCCATAGGTACCCGAAAACAGGTTGACGTAATATTCATTGACTTAAGCAAAGCCTTTGATAAGGTTCCACACGTAAGACTGCTACATAAACTCCTGGGAATTGGCATCACGGGAAATCTTCTCTCCTGGATTGCCGATTTCTTAAGGAGTAGAACAATGCGCGTACAAGTGAACCAAACGCTCTCTGCTCCAGTGCCTATGACTAGTGGCATTCCCCAAGGATCAGTGCTTGGACCAGAGCTCTTCAAACTGTACATTAACGACCTACCGACTGCGCTACAAACCGACTGCTTGATCTACGCCGATGACCTCAAGCTTTGGTCAACAGTATCCAGCATTGAGGATGCGGACAGATTACAAGGGGCTCTAGACCAGCTACACGAATGGTCGATCAGTTGGGAACTGCCAGTAAACCGAGCTAAACGCTCTGTTCTCCCAATGGGTGGCACCGAACCCTACGGTGCATACCACATTGGTGGGTTTCTCCTTAGGAATGCCACCTACGAGAGATCTCAGGGTTATCGTGACTTTTGACCTTAGAACGACGCAGGACACGTTAAAGAAGGTGCCCACTGGAAGGAGACTGGTAGGTGCCTTAAGAAGATCATTCGCTCGAATGACTCCCGAGATTTTTCAACTGTTGTTCACTTCGTACGTCCGTCCAGTCTTAGAATATGACCTACCAGCTAGCCATCCGTTTTCAAAGTTTGAATGCGCTCTGTTGGAAAAGGTTCAGAGACGTGCATCGAAAGCTGTTCTGGGGCTTCGTGATCTCCCGTACCCCATTCGACTTCAGCGGCTAAATGTGTTCTCCCTCGAGCTCCGCCGTCGCCGGGGTGATCTCATCTATACTAGACGCATCCTCCGAGCGGAACTTGGAAGTGAGTTACGACAATTCTTCCGGCCCAACACTGACTGTTCTCCACCCGAGGGCACACATGGAAACTGTTTAAGCGAAGAAGACACAAAATTCGCAAGGACGTCACCCTATCCACTAGAGTGGTGAATGAATGGAACAGCCTACCGGAAGCAATTGCAGACGCTCCATCCGAGGAAAGTTTCAAGCGGATGCTAGACAAACATTCGCTGAGAATGCTGGAATCTTGCGGCTGTCACTGCAAGTACGACGAACCCTCGAGGAACGTCGTAACGCAACGACAAGCATCAAACCCAGTATGATACGGAATCGATAGGGCTGACAAGGGATTTCCCTCCTGCTCTCAACAACTCAATGAACTGCGTCCAGGCTTGTGCGCCCTGCCTCGTCCGGGACAAAATGGAGATAGAGAGGGCTTTACGAGTGGGTACTAGGTTAGTCGAGGGATTACGGACGTACCCCGAGCGTCTACTTAGTTTGGGAATGCATTCAATGCACAACCGAAGGCTTAGATGAGACCTAATCCTCACCTACCGTATCTTAACTGGGAAGGTTGGTCCAGATTTATCTTGGCTATTTAGTCCCGCTAGATTGTCTGTTCTACGCGGTCGTTCCTTGACGCTGGACAAACCGCAGTCCGATCGGATTAGGGCGGAAATCCGGCTGTCACGCCGAGTTATCGACCGCTGGAACTTGCTTCCGGAAAGTGTTATCAGGGAATCTACCGTTAAGGGGTTTGAGCGGCAACTTGACGCTCTTGAATGGTAACGCGAAACCTTCCCCTTTTCCTGAGTAACTCGCATCTTCGTACTTCGATTTTCTTTTCTCTACTGTTCTTTACGCATTGGTATTATTTTCTTATTTAAGTGCACTTCCTTATGCTGTACCTTTGATTTCTCTTCCTATCCTCTGCTTACTTCATGTGACTTTCACAGCAGGGACTGCTAGGGCAGGAGACGTGGGCATTAACTGGTTGGCCAGGGTGCGATGTGGGTGTTCCGTTTTAGATCCATCAACAACTGAGCACTTCATCAATTCATGGCTCAATGATCCACTCAAGATTGAGCACTCTCAGGATTCTCCAGTCCCATCTGAACTGAACTTGTACCATAGCTTGAGGTTATCGGCAGATAGTTAATGTAAAGTATGGAGAGCGCCACTAGTCATGGGCACTGCAGCAGAGGGTTTGGTTCACTTGTAGGCCTACTGTTCCAACCTCTTAAGAAATCGGCAATCCAGGAGAGGATTCCCTGTAATGCCCATTCCCTGGAATTTTTGTTGCAATATTACGTGCGAACTTTATCAAGGGCTTTACTGAAGTCAATGAATATTACGTCAACCTGCATTCGGACATCTAGGGCTTCTGAACATGGTAGGCCATATACTAAGACGATGGTCATGAACTTACAAGGGGCTCTAGACCAGCTACACGAATGGTCCATCAAGTGGGAACAGCCAGTAAACCGAGATAAATGCGCTGTTCTCCCAATGGGTGGCACCGAACCCTACGGTGCATACCACATTGGTGGGTTTCTCCTTAGGAATACCACGTACGAGAGATCTCGGGGTTATCGTGACTTCTGACATTAGAACGACGCAAGATACGTTAAAGAAGGTGCCCACTGGAAGGAGACTGGTAGGTGCCTTAAGATCATTCGCTCGAATGACTCCCGATATTTTTCGACCGTTGTTCACTTCGTACGTCCGTCCAGTTTTAGAATATGGCCTACCAGCTAGCTATCCGCTTTCAAAGTTTGAAAGCGCTGTGCTAGAAAAGGTTCAGAGACGTGCATCAAAAGGTGTTCTGGGGCTACGTGATCTCCCGTACCCCATTCGACTCCAGAAGCTAAATCTGTTCTCCCTTGAGCTCCGCCGTCGCCGGGGTGATCTCACCTACACTAGACGCATCCTCCGAGGGGAACTTGGAAGCGAGTTACAACAATTCTTTCGGCCCAACACGGATTGTTCCACCCGAGGGCACACATGGAAGCTCTTTAAGCGAAGACACAAAATTCGCAAGGACGTCACCCTATCCACTAGAGTGGTGAATGAATGGAACAGCTTACCGGAAGCAATTGCAGACGCTCCATCCGAGGAAAGTTTCAAGCGGCTGCTAAACAAACATTCGCTGAGAATGCTGGAATCTTGCGGCTGTCACTGCAAGTACGACGAACCCTCGAGGAACGTCGTAACGCAACGACACGCATCAAACCCAGTATGATACGGAATCGATAGGGCTGACAAGGGATTTCCCTCCTGCTCTCTACAACTCAATGAACTAAAGTGGAAAAATCTCAGGTCTCTTTCGAGCGAATGATCTTTTTAGGGAGGCTTTTCCACTCATTCACAGCTTGTATAGATAGCGCAATATTGCAACGCAAAATTCGGGCGTAGTAAAAGGCGAGCAAGGAAAAGGAGTGTCTAATACATGTGCACAAATTCGGATTCAATTGGGTGCGAAACAATAAGATATTCCTATGAGTGTAACCTCACTTTGAGTCACCGCAACAATATCTGACATGCGGCAGCTGAAATCACGATGTTACTTGTGAAAACCACATCACTAATTAGCACCCACGTATCAGGCCTTAGCAGTTAATGATGGGTCCGTTACGTGAACCATGTGCCATTCTTGCTACGACGCCCAACTTGACAAACAGGGAGCATTCGGCTTATAAAGATAACTAACACATATTAGTTGCGATGAGGAGTGAAGTGCAGAAAGCATGGGAGTGGCACTGGATTAAACGTAATAGGATCAAAAGCGGCGCATTGGTCAGATAACGATACCCAGATTGAAATCAAAAGGGCCAAAATCCAGGTTATAATTAGTATTCTAATAGAGAGCGTGTGGAGGTCCCATTGTACTTTTAATGTATAGGGAGCGTACGTTTTGCCAATTTTTCTTAAGCAGAGAAACAAGGAAATTCACAGCAAGGTTGACGTTCTGCGCGAGTTCTTCTGGCTTCATGTGGACATGACCGACTGCAACGTTGAGAGTTAACACTTTCTTCATCTGGAACTTAATGGTCGCTTTTGCATCATTTACACGTTGCATCAATGATTCTCCATGCGTTAAGACAGCAGGGAACTTTCCAGCTTTGCTCAAACCGGGACCCAAAATGCGGGGAATCTGCCGTATAACGGATTCACTGGCAAGGAACATGTGGTACCTCTTAGCTACGAGAAAATGGTAACTATAAGCGCGACATACCAAGTTTTTTGATAAGTTTCTTATCCTTGTTAAGCTTCTTTAAGTCCTCGATATCCATGCAAGGGATATCCGCCGCTTTAGATTCATCGCAGTGCTGCTGGTCGCCCAATATACAAACCTTCATGTGAGGTCGAGGGATGTGCCGCAACCTGAAGTAAACCGCATGTAATCATAGCGGCAGCTAGCCTCCCCAAATATTTAAACACCCTGGGTGAGGGTGATGGGACAGGTGCTTACTTCACAGTGCCTGAAAAACGTTTGTCCTTCTGAGGATCATAGTTCTTTAACATTATCTGCAGTTCGACGGTCTCGACGAACTTCCGCTTTTTAACATTATTGCTGTAGTCAAGAAGGTCAGCACAACTACGCAATAGCAGATCCTTGGGAATTTTGCTGGAAACAGAAATATAAAGGATTAGCGCTATGGAATTTAATCAGAACTTCTTAGAGGAATACCATCAAGCAATCAGCGAGAATAGTGACATCACAAAACGAAACACCGAAACACCAACCTCATGGCGGGACGGCAAGGACACTTTAGTGACACGTACCTCACCTGATTAAAACAGACAATATTTCAATAAAGAATGTTTGCTAAGAAAAGTGCTGTGTTATTTAATAGGCTTGTTTAAGCTTACCAGTGTAAATGCTGCGTATATTCCTTTGCAATCCAAACTGATGTTTAAGTTCATGTCCAGTTGGGACCGAAACGATGGGACAATCCCGCGAATGCTCCTTCTTTTGCGTATGTTCGGATCGGGAAGTGACAGGTCTGCTTATGTTAAAAAGTCCAAAACAAAGACCGCATCACACCCTGTCCAACCAATTACTGCCCACATTTACCTGTCCAGCAGTCTTTGCCAGGCCGGTTTATGCGAAGTAAAAGAGTGAAGGGTAAGCAAGTAAACAAGGGGAGGAATGGCAGCTTATTTGTGATAACACCAAGGTGTGAGAAGATAATTAAAAGAAGGAAGGGAAAGTTGAAGATAGACGTTACGTTATCAATCGTACCCTGAGTGTCTACTTAGCTTGGGTATGTATTCAATGCACTACCGACGGCTTCCAGAAGACCTAGTTCTTACTTACCGCATTTTAACTGGGAAGGTTGGACCGGACTTGAGCCGGCTATTTAGCCCGACTAGGTTGCCTTGTCTTCGCGGCCATCCCATGAAGCTACACAAGCAGCGTTCTGACAGGATCAGAACGGAAACTCGGTTATCGCGTCGATTTATCGAGCGCTGGAACTCGCTTCCAGAAAGTGTAGTCAGTGAACCTACGGTTAAAGGTTTCGAGCGTCAGTTAGACGCTCTTGGGTGGCAAAACAAAACCTTTCCCTTCTCCTAACCATATCCAGCTTCAAACTTTCAGTTCTTATTCTGTCATTCTCTTCACTCTTTGATGTTATCCTTCATTTTAATGGCTTTTATTCCCTTTTAGCCTCCATTTACTTTCTACTTCTTACTTCACGTAACCTACACAGCGCGGACTGCTGGTGCAGGGAACGTGGGCAGTAATTGGTTGACCAGTATGTGTTTCGGGTGTTTCGTTTTCGATCTATCAAGTACTGGCACCTTATCATTTCCTGGCTCAACGATTTGCTCAAGAAGGAACACTCAAGGGATTTTCCTATCGTTCCAGTCCATCTGAATCTGCATCTGACGTCGGTTTGTCAGTTTGACAAACGTAGTAGTTAGGTTGGTTCAATAGCTGCTAAAGGACTCAGTGGAGAACCACCTGAATAGATTTAGCCTTCTCAGTGTAGCGCAACATGGATTCCACTAGGGATTTTTGTGTCAGACTAACCTACTTGTAGCTCGTGAAAGCTGGGCCGCAGTGGTAGACAGTGGCCACGCCGTAGAACTGCTATCCGTGGTCCTTTCGAAATCTTCTGACATTGTTCCATATCTGCTGCTCTCACTAATCTTGATATCTTACGGGATATCTGGTCGCGCCCTTCAATGGGTTCCTGCCTTCCTTGAGGGGATAGAACAGTGCGTACGAGTGGGGCGGATCGTATTGCTCAGGCAAGCTGTCCTTAGTGGCCTCCCACAGGGCTCGGTATTGGGGCCATTTTGTTCGTGATCCATTTAAAGGACTTGCCGGGAGAGCTAGGAGTGTCATGTTTGCTGACGACTTTAAGCATCGGAATATTGTGGTTATCCCGGGGGTCCTGAGGCAATTAAGCATGCTTTGGATAGGCACTGGGAATGGTCTACCTTATGGTTGATGTCCATAAATAGGGCCAAGTGCTCTGTTCTCCGAATCGGAGCTGCTAATCCTCCCACCCGATATGTTGTCGGCGGTGATGCAATCCCTGTTGTCGCTCATCAGGTTGATTTAGGATTCGTACATACATCAGCACTTCATTCTAGAGACAATGGAAAGAAGGCTGCTTGTGGTGGGTTTCGTATGATGTGGTTTATGCGCCGCTCGTTCGGAATCCTAAAGGCCAATTTGTTTGTGAAGCTGTTTTCGGCCTTCGTCCTGCCCCACTTGGAATATTGTATTCAGGCTTGTCCACCATGTCCTAACCCAGACAAAATGGACTTCGAAAGGGTGTTACGAGTGGGCACTCGATCAGTGCAGGGTCTACGGGGGCAGACGTATCCTGAACGCTTGCTCAGTTTGGGGATGTACTCAATGCACTACCGAAGGATAAGGGGGGACCTGATTCTCACTTATCGTATTTTGACGGGTAAGATTGCCCCGGACTTGTCAGGGCTTTTTAGTCCCGCTACGTCACCTAGTCTCCGCGGTCATTCACTGAAACTGCATAAACCACGGTCTGACAGGATTTTAACGGAAACTCGTCTGCCGCGCCGAGTTATAGATCGCTCTAATTTGCTTCTAGAGCACGTGATTAAGGAACCTACGTTTAAGGGTATGCGCGCCAGTTTGATGCTCTTGGATGGCAACAGCAAACGTTTCCTTTTTCTTAGCTGACTCACCTTCACTTTTCAGTTCTTGTTTTACTGACTCAAATATCATGGTACTTTAATTTTCACTATTTCCACTTTCTCTTTTGCCTTAAAAGTTTACTATTTTATTTCTTATTTTATCTAAACGGCCCAGCAGGGACTGCTAGGGCAGGATACGTGGGGCTTAATTAGTTGGACAGGGTGTGATGCGGTCTTCGGTTCAGGTCCATTAATGTTTCAATGTTTGACAACCCCTGGTTCAACGACCCGCCGAAGAAGGAACACACACGGGATAATCCCATCGTTCCAGTCTCGCTTCAACTTGAGCTTGGTACTGCCACCCAGGAGCATCTGACTGACGCTCGAAATCCACTGTCGTAGTCTCGCTAACGACCTGCTTCTGAAGCGAATTTCAACGTTCAATAACTCGTCGAACGAATGGTTCACGTCAATTACAAGTGAGATCAGAACAGTGGGCAATTCCCGTGGATATCTCACCTTTGAAAATGTCGTTGCTCCAGCAGGGAAAGCGATGCATTGAAGCACCAAATGAGGACCAAGTCAACGCACACAATTCATATGGTCAACCAAGCAATGCCCACTTGACCTGCACTAGCAGTCCCCGCTGTGTCGGCCAAGTAAACCATAAAAGCAAGCAGCAGTGTCAATAAAAGAAAGTAAACAGCGGGGAAGACGAGCTTATCGAAGTTCGTAGGCAATATTAAGATATAAGTCAAATTGGGTTAAAGAAGCGTTGGCCATAGTAGACGAATAAAAGTTTAAGACATGAAGGGGAAGACTTTAAACTGCAGGCCGAGAGCGTCAAGTCGATACTTTAACTCTTTCACCGTCGGTGCTATCACGACGTCTGCAGACAGTGCATCCCAATAAGATATGACCTTACGCGATAGCCGGATACTGCCCAAACCCGGTCATACCGGACTTTGTGCAAATTTAATCGGTGGCCACGAAGGGTTGGCGCTCGAGTTGGATGAAACAGTCCAGTCAAATCAAGACCAATCTGCCCCATCATTATACGATATGTGAGAACCAAGCGGCCCCCAAGCCGCCTGTAATACATGGAAAACTATCCAAGTTAAGCAGCTTCTTTAATCTGTGCATCATTTTTGTCCAGGATCGCAGGGCTCATTCAACTGCCATCTTATCACGATCCAGGCATGGAGGACAAGCCTGAACACAGTATTCCAAGTAGAACTGGAACAGTACAAGAGATTCGTGGGTGCTTATACCTCGTCGTTGATAAAAGGTATATTCGTTAGCTTTACCTTGCATCTAGATTCCAGGCATAGAGTCCAATAAGCACGCGTCAAGCACATCACAGTCAACCAATTAATAGCCAGGCAACCTGCATGAGCATTACCCGCTGCTGTGGTCGCATGCACCAAGGAGCAGAATATGGAAAAAGTCAAAGCGTCGTGAACAAAAATTAATTGCCATTTAATAATAAAATACAACGAATATTCTAGGGTGTGAAGTGGAAAGTTAGGGCAGGGCAAGGTAGAATCCAGGGACGAAATAAGCTTTCGCTGATCCAGCGTCCTTATTTTTGTGCCGGTAAGCTAAAAATCTCCCAGCTTTTCTACGTAATAATAGCTTCTTGCGTTTACACCTACGCAACTATACGCAACCGAGAACCGTATACGAACGGCGGGACAAAGGCGTCAAGCCGGTGTTCGAACTCTTGCACCGATGATGAAAGCATAACCTTCTCAAGTTCAAGTTCAAGTTCGGGTAGGCCTGGAACGGTAGGAGAATCCCTTGAGTGTTCAATCTTGAGTGCATCGTTGAGCCATGAATTGCTGAAGTGCTCAGTTATTGATGGATCTGAAGCTGAACACCCGTATCGCACCCTGGCCAACCAGTTAATGCCCACGTCTCCTGCCTTAGCAGTCCTTGATGTCGCAGGCACATGAAATAAGCAAAGGAGACGAACAGAAATAGAAGGCACAGAATAAGGAAGTGCACTTAAATTAGAAAATATTGCCAATGCGTGCAGATAAGTAGCGAAAATATCGAAACAGGAAGATGCGAGTAACTCAGGAAAATGGAAATGTTTCGTGTTGCCATTCATAAGGGTCAAGTTGCCGCTCAAACCCCTTAACCGTAGATTTCCTGATAACGCTTTCCGGAAGCATGTTGCATCGCTCGATGACCCTGCGTAACAGTTGGAGCTCAGCCCTAATCCGATCAGACTGCGTTTGGTCCAGCTTCAAAGAATGACCGCGTAGAACAGAAAATCTAGCGGGACTAAGTAGCCAAGATAAATCTGGACCAACCTTCCCAGTTAAGATACGGTAGGTGAGGATTAGGTCTCATCTATGCCTTCGGTTGTACATTGAATGCATTCCCAAACTAAGTAGACGCTCGGGATACGTCCGTCCCTCGACTAACCTAGTACACACTCGTAAAACCCTCTCTATCTCCATTTTGTCCCGGACGAGGCAGGGCGGACAAGCCTGGACGCAGTGTTCCAGATGAGGCCGAACGAGTGCCGAGTACAGTCTCCTAAAGATGCCACCCGTCATGACTCCGAAGGAACGGCGTATTAAGCAAAAGACGCGACACCTCTGTTTGCGGCCTACCTCCAGTTGTCGCCGGAGTGTAAAGCTGAAGATTG